CTCGGCGCAATACGCAGCGAAGGCTGGGGAAAGGGCGAGACGGTACGAGGGCCGTCCGTGACGGATGACGCAACCCTGCATCGCCACGCCCCTTTCCATCGAGAACGTTCTAGGGCTTGCTCGGCCGCCGATGTGAGGAGGTTCGTTGGCGAACCTACGCTTCCGAGGGGAGAGGGACGCGCGCCCGGGGAGTCTTTGGATGCTTGTTTTCTTTTTTTTTATCGTTGACCTCTCGGCGCTTCGTCTCGAGAATTTGGCGGTGCGCCCTTTTTTTGAGCGCTCGTTTTGTGACACTGCCCCCCACTTTAAGAATATTATCTCATAATATTCAAAACCACACAAACGAGTTCGAACAGTCCCCACACTCTCAGAGACTGTAACACAGTCCATCGCTCGTGACACGTCCCATTAACAATATATCACTCAATGCAATTGTATATTGTAATTCAATCTCTCAACACATAAAGTATAACCACAGGTACATGAGTACAACACTCCATCCCATATTCCGAACAATACAAATATGCATGAGTCTATCCTTACAACAATTGTACAATACTATACATCACATCACCGTAACAAACATTTTGACTTGCTCGGCATACAGTTGTGACACAGGATAACAAGCACATAACTTAACATATTGCACTCAGCACTGTCAAACACATTCCGATTCGACCTCGACACCTATCCTGTGCATTTCGAGCAGCGCTTGCGCCCTTTCTTGTGGTGCTCTCTTGATCTCTTCTTATTATTTTTTCTCGTTTTGTTCCGGCGAGCCCCTTCCAACGACGGTATCTGAGGCGGCGTCTCAGCCGTCGTTGTCACTTGCGACATTTTTAACGGGTCATGACGTTCAACCGATCCTGCCCGGTTATTCACCCGCTTGTTCATGTCACGACATTTGGCCTGGCTGGCTGAATCCGTCACCTTTACACTGTCGGTCGGTTGAGGTTGTGCCGACGTAAGTCCAGCTGCCCAGCACGTGAACTCATTCAATACGATCATGTTCTCATTCGCTGTCTCTTGCGCCCAGGCTTCACCTTGGGCTCGAGTGAAATCCTTCACGGGATTGTTTTCCGCTGAATCTCGCGGTCCGTGTGTCAGCGGAAGCTCCATCTTCGAGTCTTCCCCCAAACGTTCTCCATCATTCGGCCCTCGCGCCCCATCGATGTTTCCAATGACGAGGCCATACAGGGGGGTCGTCATGCATAGAGCAGTAACCTTCCCGCTGAAGTATGGGGTTTCAACCTCAATTTCTGCTTCGGGAAGCATCCGAACCGTACTGTCAATTAGGCAAACCGGTTTCGTTTTGCCTGTCAACTCACCTTCCCGTACCAAATTTCTTCGCACGATAACAGTGGAGTTGCCGGTATCTCTGAACACTGTAACCTTTTTGCCCGCAACTTTTCCAGGCAGCGTTGGCATTCCCTTCGTAACACCAGTTGGCTGTTTTGACATTACAGCACCCACAATAGGAAGTTTCTCCCTATTTTCAACTCTACAAATCTGTCGGTGACGGCTTCACCATCGGATTTTGTTGCTGCTAGAACACAGGATACCTGGTGAGTTCGACTCGCTCCGTTACAACAAGCATCTGCTTTGTGCCCAATCTGGCCACACTTGAAACATTTTACGACCGTGGGACTCGTAAAGTTAGTACGACAGTTGTTCGCGCGATGACCCACTCGGTTACACAGAAAACATCGCGGAATACTCTCTGGTGCACGCTTCTTTTGTTCCGGTGCCGACATTTTCGAATCTTCGGGACATTCCTTCTTGACCTTGGCCAAAGTAGTTCCACCTTGCGCTTCCAGGAATTGATCAGCCAATTCAAGCATGCCTTCAAGTGACTCAACCTTTTTCTCTTTCAAGTACAGCGACAGGCTTGGGTGGCAAATAGTAAGAAATTGCTCTCTAATGAGGAGCTCTCTAAGCTTATCTTACTTTTGCGCTGTCCCTGAATGTTCAATCCATCTGTCGAAATAATGGCAAATTCGGGCGGCATACTGGGTAGCCATCTCACCATCAGCTGGCTTTCCTGTCCGTAATCTATCCCGGAAACCTTCCACAAAAAATCTGAATCGCTTCAGTAAAGCAGCTTTCACCTTTGCATAGTTGGCTGCATCGGTCGGTGTCAGCCTACCGTACACAATGAGCGCTTCACCACTCAAGCAAGTACTCAAAGCAGTTGCCCATTGATGTTCCGGCCAATTCTGGCTCCTTGCAATCGTCTCAAATCGGTGAAGGTACGCGTCGAGGTCGTCCTTCCTTTCATCAAACGCTACGAGCAGCTTGCTTGGATCAAGCGGAAGCCGGGGTCCTCCCGTTCGCTGCTTTCAACTCTAGCTTGGACTGGAGTTTCACTTCGCTGTTGCAAACGGAGCCGCTCGAGTTCAATCTCGTGCTGTCGCTGCCGTTCCCTTTCAGCCATCTCCGCTTCTCTTTCTTCTTCCAGCTGTCGCTCCTATGCCTCTCTTTCTTCTTTCAGCTGTCGCTCCTTTGCTTCTCTTTCTTCTTTCAGCTGTCGCTCCTTTGCTTCTCTTTCTTCTCGCGCCCTTTCAGCTGCCAACTTTTCTCTCTACAGCTCCAACTTCAATTGCTGCTCTCTTTCTTCTTTCGCTCTCTCAGCTGCCAACCTCTCTCTTTCCAACTCAGCTGCTTTTTCTTCCTTGGCTCTCTCAGCTGCCAACCTCTCTCACTCCAACTCAGCTTTTTTTTCCGCTTTGGCTCTTTCGACCGCCAACCTTTTTTTTTCCAGCTCAGCTGCCTTTTCTTCTTTCACCCTCTCTTTTTCTTCTTTTTCCTTCTGGGTGACCCACTTCCGTAGTTCGGCGCCAGAGAGACCCATCTTCTCACCAAGAGCTACTAACTTTTCGAGATACATTGTGTCTCGCAAATAAAACCTTGCCGCGTGCAAAAACTATCTGCCTAAATCGGTATATCGTAACACTCTCCTGCACTCGTCAACGAGAACACTGAGCAACACACAAAGTCTTTCCGATAGCACTATCAACAACTCGAGGCTCTTTCTCACTACTTTCGACACACTGTGCACCAGAAGGTCCGAGTCGCGGACACCAGAGTAATTGTCACAGGTCCCGTTAATTTGGGAGGCGATCGCTAGGCTAATTCCAAGGGCCGAAGTATCGGCACCCCGAACCGCACCACGAGAGCGTAGACAATTTAGGAGTGATCCTATTTGGCGCGCCAGCGGACGCCGGCTGTGGCCCAAAGAACAAGTCAGAGCCGAGAGTTGATAAACAAAACAAAATTATATTCTCAATTGTGGCAGATCAAAACGATACACAAGTATGCACACTCTACAATAGTTGAATACCATATATCGCCAATTAAACAATGTACCACACGTTACAATCAGCCACACTCGAAACAACGAACATGGACAACAATACGCACTACAATGCAGTCGCATGCAACGAACAACCATGACACTTAAAGGCTAAAGAGTTGGAAAACTTATTCAGTCCAAAGTTCTTGGAACAAAAGTCTGGATGATACTCTTCCGAGAATCACTCACTCAAAGTCCAGTGTTGTCGTTCCGCTGCCCCCGAAGTTTCTCTTCCAGGAAACCTCGCGTCTTCAATTGGCCACTCTCCAGGCTCCAAACTTCTTCGCCGGAAACACGTCGGCTTCAAACACGTTGCTGTTGCCACGCGTCTTCGCTCGATGGCGGTAGACACACACTCATGCCTGTAGCTCAAGTCTTCACCCCTCAGGTGGAAATCCTCTTCTTCTCCTTCTTTGTCCCGAAAGCCAAAGGCTTCGCCCACAAGGCGGAACACCCTAAGCACTCTGTCGCATACTTTCTTCTTCTCCTGCTTTGTCACTACGGACAAAACCTTCACCGACAGACGCGGCGGGATACCCTACGCACTCTGGCGCTAACTTCCTTCTTCTCCTGATCTCCCATCTCGGCTTCTCGATCAAATACCTTCCGCGCGAGATTCCAGAAAATTCTCATCATTTCGTCGGCGTGATACGCAGCAAAGGCTGGGGAAAGGGCGAGACGGTATGAGGGCCATCCGTGACGGATGACGCACTCCTGCATCACCACGCCCCTTTCCATCGAGAACGTTCTAGGGCTTGCTCAGCCACCGATGTTAGGAGGTACGTTGGCGAACCTACGCTTCCGAGGGGACAGGGACGCGTGCCCGGGGAGTCTTTGGATGCTTGTTTTCTTTTTTTTTATCGTTGACCTCTCAGCGCTTGGTCGCGAGAATTTGGCGGCGCGCCCTTTTTTGAGCTCTCGTTTTGTGACAGACAGACAGACAGATAGACAGATTAGATAGATAGATAGATAGATAGATAGATAGATAGATAGATAGATAGATAGATAGATAGATAGATAGATAGATAGATAGATAAATAGATAGATAGATAGATAGATAGATAGATAGATAGATAGATAGATAGATAGATAGATAGATAGATAGATAGATAGATAGATAGATAGATAGATAGATAGATAGATAGGGATGGATCGATGGATGGAGGGACGGACGGACGGACGGACGGACGGACGGACGGACGGATGGATGGATGGATGGATGGATAGATGGATGGATGGATGGATGGATGGATGGATGGATGGATGGATGGATGGATGGATGGATGGATGGATGGATGGATGGATGGATGGATGGATGGAATCAGGGCAGCTGTCGAAGTATCAACTTGCTTCACATGCGACCTTGCTCTAGCGCGTTAAAAAATCATAATACTACCCAAACGACTAAGTAGTGTGGTGAAATATATATAAGTGAAGTACTCGTGTTCCGTGGTCGTACACTTCACTACCAAAAGAACTTTAAACGCAGCTATGCTACAGAGTGCCAGTCAACGTATCCATCAGTGAGTTGTTCACTGCACAGTACTTCATTAGTTCTCTCTTGGAAGTTTTGTAATGAGAAGGTGTTAACGAGTAAACACCATTCTGTAGCGCGAGAAAGTCATAGAGTTGGTCATCTTTTTTGCAGGCACTGGGAAACCACGAGTTCGACCGGGGTGCCGAAGGGCTGGTTCCACTCTTAACTGAAAGCCGGGTGCCCATCGTGGGCTGCAATGTCGACTTCAGCGAGGAGCCAACACTTAAGCCACTGCAGCCGAAACCTTCTGTGGTAGTGGAACGAGCAGGAACCAAAATTGGCCTCATTGGATACACAACGATGAATACCACATACTTGTCCAGCCCTGGTATGCTCTCACAAAGTTTCTAAGGTTTTTATGGGCCTACGCCTTGTATATATATATATATATATAATGTGTGCCCAGGTTCAAGAAGTTACCTCTTCCGCAATAAGGGTACAATGTGCACGTACTTCAGTACCCCCTCTTCCTTGTCCTAAATTATTTATTTATTCCACTAACACTACACCTACGTCGCCATACATTGCGTTGGGGAGATACAATTGGGTAATATCATAACATAGTACTTCTTTGATATAGTAGGTACAATAGCTACAACAGTACAGCCCCGCCGTGGTGTTCTCGTGGCTAAGGTATTTGGCTGCTATCCCACAGGTCGCGGTATCCAATCCCGGCTGCAGTGGCTGCATTTTCGATGGAGACGAAAATGCTGTAGGCCCGTGTGCTCAGATTTCGGTGCACGTCAAATAACCCCAGGTGGTCGAAAGCCCTCCACTGGATGGATGGATGGATGAAGAGATGGATGAAAATAACTTTATTTATACGTCCTGTATAGGGTGTAGCCACCTGCCTGGCTAATCTCACGTTGGGATTGGGAGGTGAAGCCTCCTAGCCCTGTCATGAGCGTACTGGGCAGCCAGAACTTGGGGGATATGGTCGTGAGACTTTATCATTCCTGTAAACCGTTCCCGGAGAAACGCCACGGCCAAGGGACCCACATTCCCAGAGCATATGATCAAGCGTGCATGCTTCTTTCTTACATGCCTTGCAAACAACATCCATATATTTTATATCGTACCATTCTTTTGCCTGTGCTGGTGAGTAATAAGACTATGTCTGTAATTGTTGCAGTGTGACCCGCTTGTGCTCTGTTTAGTCTACTGTGAGGGGGTGCAAAGCTTTCTCCTCCCCAGGTAGTAATGTTTAGTATTTTCATTATATGTCATGGGCGTATTCCGTTGCACATTTTTTAATCCAGCAGAATTAAAGTCATGTGTAAAAGCATCCCGGTACGTAAGTTCACGGGCATTGCTGTTGGCCGATTCATATGGATCCATGGGACTGCATCGAGTTATCCAAGGTGCGCTGGGAACAACAGTATGCAATGTGTATCAATGGCCTGTTTACTATTAATAATTCGAACTGCTTGTGGTGTGATCCTGCCCCTGCTGAAGGCTCTGGTGCTGGTTTTGAGTCACTGTATATCTCGCTGTATCGATCATTCGTCAGGGCCAACGCGATAGCAACCTGTTCATCGACTTCCGGTTTGAAAGTGTAAACCGTGATAGAGTGTACTAGAAGTGTTGAGTGGCGTGACCGCGCCTAGCCGCCTGATACCTTCCGTGTTGTCCGCAGCGGCGGCTGCTGCAGTATAATAGTACTGAAAGAGCCGTGCGCCGTGTGCAAAAACTTCTGTGGGCGTCAGCTTCTCCGGTGCGCTTTTTTGATGCAGAGTTTTTCGTACCTGCTCATCATTCATGTCTTGCACATGATTTGTTAAATCTTGAAGTATGATACGCCAATCTGCTGAATTTGAGCTCCATAAAAGTTCTTGTGAAAGACAAAAAATAATTCAAAAAAGGCGTGTCCTAATATGATTTATTCTATCTTAACTCTTTCTTCGTTGTGCAGGCGTCTACAATATTAAGAATGACTGAGCCGTTTTTTTGGAAGTTAGCTGTGCTCAGAAATCTGCGAGATGAAAAAAAAAAGATATATCATGTCATACGCACGGAGAACCAGGAGGCCGTAAGTAAAGAGAGAAGAGGAAGGAAATCTGAACCCCTACACAACAAATTTTTCTTTCGTAATTTATTATTTCGCGGTATACTAAACTATTTACACATATTCACAGCAACCACCGATTGCAAAGTTAGTTGTTCTGCTGCACCCCCCCTCCAACCCTCCAAAAAAGTCCTGGGTAGCCCTGCGCCGAACGTTTACACTTGGCAATGCTGAATATAGCGTGCCTCTGTACAACTGCGCACTGTACATTTCACCTTTTCGACAGTATGAGGGCTCAAGACTTGTTCCAGTCTAACGTAGTCGGACGAGAAATACACCGCGTGAAAATAGCGGCTGTTCTAAAGAGCATTGCATGGTGAATATATATATATATATATATATATATATATATATATATATATATATTGATCGATTTATTTATTTATTTATTTATTTATTTATTTATGGCACAACGGTAGTGTTGTCAACAAGGATAAATATATTTATTTCCCAACAGTTTCGGGAGGGGTCCTCCCTTCATCAGGGGATGAGTTATACTAACATGAGCTTCCAAACCTAGTTGCTGCCGCATCCCTCTCGCCTTGGAAGATGTTTGCGAGAGTGAGAAAGAACTAAAAAAAGAAAGAAAAAAAGAAAAGAAAAAAGAGAAGAAAAAAGACGAAAAAAACACAAGAAAAAAAAGAAAAAAAGAAAGTTAAAAGAGGAAGAACCACTGTCAACACTGAGAACAAAACCAAATGTCCGTCTACATCCACATCCGGTTCTAATCCCATGCTGGTCAGTTCTGGTGACAAAGATTGATAGCTGGAGACCATGCTTGTTTTTTCTGACTGACTCGTACGTGTACACTGTTCTTTCTTGTTTTTTTTTCTTTCCTTTTTTTCCTTTTTTTCTTTTTTTCACGTGCACATACAAAGTGGTTATGTTTGCCTACCACTTGATGACCATTGAAGGGAAACGGACGAAGATAAAAGAGAGCCGACCGACTCATTAAGGGGAAACCCTTTCCTTACGCACGCCGTCACGGACCCCTCCCGCCACCGCGGCGACAATCTTGGGTGGCCCAACACATGCCGAGAACTGACCAGCACGGGATTAGAACCGGATGTGGACGTACACGGACGATTGGTTTTGTTTGCAGTGTTGACAGTGGTTCTTCCTCTTTTAACTTTCTTTTTTTCTTTTTTTCTTTTTTTTATTCTTTTCGTCTTTTTTCTTCTCTTTTTTTCTTTTTTTTCTTTCTTTTTTTAGTTCTCTCTCACTCTGGCAAACATCTTCCAAGGCTAGAGGGACGCGGCAGCAACTAGGTTTGGAAGTTCAAGTTAGTATAACTCATCCCCTGATGAAGAGAGGACCCCTCCCGAAACTGTTGGGAAATAAATATATTTATCCTTGTTGACAACGCTCCCGTTGTGCCATATCCCATACCTTCAAGAAGACTAACTGGCCCATTGAATTATTACTCCCACTTTATATATATATATATATATATATATATATATATATATATGAGCATTATTCATGCGCGTCATCTTGTCATATGTACATACTCATCATCATCAGACTGACCTGTGTTGTGGGGCAGACGCTCGGCAAGTAAAAGAAGTCTCCGCAGCAAAAACGTTGCCTTACAAGTGGTGGAGAGTGCTTTCCGGTCCCCTGGTCCTCTCCCTGCAGTGCTTTTTCGTGATCTTCGACTACCAACCATCCCTGGAGCTCCGGTCGGGTCGCCGTTTGCGCAGTCAGCCCACGGTCATGTCGCAAGACGAGCACAACAACAACACCGCTCCATCCACCACGCCTACACCACTGGGCATGCCTTCATGGACTGTCACCGCCCCTCAAAAAGATCCCCCGATGTTCGCTGGCCTTCGCGGTGAAGACGTTGAAGACTGGTTAGATGAGTACGACCGTGTGAGTGCGCATAACTATTAGCATGATTCTGTGAAGCTGTCCCGCGTACCGTGCTATATGACGGGTGTCGCTAAGACATGGTTTCTCAACCATCAGCTGGATTTCCCCGACTGGCCTACCTTTAAGCAGCAGCTCCGTCAGATATTTTCCAACCCTTCTGTACGTGCAGACATCGCCAAACGGAGGCTTGCTGAACGTGTCCAGCACTCCAGCGAGTCCTATACTACGTACATTGAAAATGTCCTCGCCCTATGCCGTCGCGTCGACAGCTCAATGGCGGAACATGACCACGTTCGCCACCTGCTCAAGGGCATAGGCGCAGTCGCATTTAACGCTTTGGCGGCAAATAACCCCACCGCGGTCGCGGATATCATCAGTACGTGTCAGCGACTCGACGGACCTTCAACTTATACGTTTACATCCTGACACAGGAGATCTCAGGCCAACGCATGACCGTTGATACGGTCTATGATCCGCGAGGAGCTGCGATTCTAGGCCACCTCGTCGTCTTGTGAGCTCCGCATAACACCTTCTGCGGGCAGCCTCCGCAACATCGTCAGGGAGGAACTGGCATCCATGACGTGTGAGCAAGTTCCGAGCTCACATACCACTCCAAGCCGACATACGCTCAGGTGGTTCCAGCGTCACCTTCTCAGCAATCGTCGCAGTATGTGTCAACTACGCAGCCCTCCCTAAATGCCCTCGCCAAAAGGGCACCACCTCCTTCTTTCCATGTCTGGCGTCCATCTCGACCGATTCACTATTATTGCGGAATACGTGGCCACATCTCACGGTTCTGTCGTCTACGTCAACAAGACGAAAGGAGGGGCTATGGGGACTACGAGAGGGATGAGTTTGCCCCTGCTCCACAACATTGCTACCCATACCAACTGTACCAACGCCGCTCACCATCCCCACAGCACTTCGATGCAGCCAGTATTTTCCGCTCCTCGCGCCGTCATTCCCCGTCACCTATGCGGCGTTCCTCGTCACCACTTCGTCCGGCTACCACGGCGTCTGATCATCGCCCGGAAAACTAAACAGTCAGCTTCAGGAGGGAAAGCTGCATTTTGCGGACTGCATCGAACTCCTCCGGAACGCCCTTCAAATGTACTTTCAGTTTGTGTTGAGGGTATATGGACTGAAGCCTTGGTGGACACAGGTGCATCGCTCTGAGTTATTAGTGGGACTTGTGTTCCCGTTTGCGTAAAGTGAAGACACCATATGATGGCCCTCCCCTTCGCGGTCCTAATGCGGTTTTCGTTCAGCCTTCTGGTGTTTGCACAGCACGAGCTTTTATTGAGGGCATCCTTCATCATATACAGTTCCTCGTTCTGTCATCGTGTACTAATGTGCTCATTTTAGGGTGGGACTTTCTCTCCTCAGCT